TATATATATAGTCCCTTGTTGAAAGGACCCACCTGCAGTGCACAAGAACAGGCTTGTTTGTGTGCGGGGTCACGTGGGATCTGACGTCAGCGGCGAACTGCACCAGACAGGGAGGGGGGACGTTAGCACTGTGGTCACTCCAGGTCAAGAGATGGAAATGTTTCACCTCCTTTACCACCCCATCCACCTGAAAAACAGAAGAAAAATACAAGTCACATAATCAATAGAAACACGACAAATTATTATAGCAATTTACTTAGCAGTTAATGAAAACATGTAACGTCCGACTAAGTTGAGCCTAGAACCCCCGAGCCTGCCATCTCAGATTACGAGTCTGGTAGTCTACTATAATTACATGTCTCCTGTGATTGAGCTTCGCCTACAAGACTGTTAAACTCCTCTGTAATCGCTATTCGTTATATTTATGTTCTTCTTTTATCAAAGAGGCCAGCCTCATGAATAAGCTGTAAAAAGAGAATGACGACAGCCTTTGGCCCCAGGACAGAGTCAGTATCGGAAAGTGAAAGAGCGGTGTTGGTAAAGTCAATTCCGTCGTTACATTCCCTGAGGATCGAACCCTGGACCTCTCGAGTATGAGCCTGCAGTCTTACCTTGTCGTGAGTCAGCGAGAAGATGGTGATGTTGTAGTTGTTGATGGAGGACACGGAGATGTTTCTCACGTGGATATCCCCGTACTGGGATTTTGTCCCTCTGACTTCGGGCCAGTACTGCTCGCATTTGTTCTGGAAAGACAGCATTGTGAATTATTGTTACTGATCGTGTACGATTGTAAAATATAGAAAATGGTTGTACATTTAGCATTTTATTTCAATTGTTTGTAAATTATAAGCGTGAATATTTGTAATGAAACTGATTGTGGTTAATTTGTAACCGGATGTTAAATGATGGGAAATGGTTTCAAATGTTTGTACTTGATTTTAAATATTTGTAAATAATGGGAAATTATCCTAATTGACTATAACAGATTGTAACTGACTGTGAATATTTGTAATGCTATTGTAACTGCTTGTAACTGCTTGGAAATTATTATAGCAAAAGGTTGTAAATATTTATGCATGATTCTAATATTTTATAAATAATAATTGTGGATGATTGTAGATTATAATAATAGGTTAAAACTGATAGTAAATATTTGTAAAGGATTTTTAAAGAGCTGTAATTATTGCTAAAAGGCACCGAGAAAGGAAAAACAACTCCAAGCTAATCTGGCAATGTGAGAACAAGACCGCGCCTACGTAAGGTTATAAGACAATGGTATGTTGGTACCTACAACATTCTAAGATGACTTTCCCACCCTCAACACAGTGCACATAACACTAAAATGTAACTGTAAGTGCACATGTTAAAGCTCCCATCAAAACAGTTTAATTCATTTACGTGGCGGGCCGTTTCGACCCTGCTCGTTTGGGCTAACCCAGGCTGAGAGGACTACAGTATACCAGTAGCCAGACGGAGATACAAGATTTTAAGATAAGAAAGCACTATTCCCAGTGACACTGGGGATAGGCCTAGAAACTATTTCCAGTGACACTGAGAACAGACAGGCCCATTAGATATATTGTTCCCACACTGATCTACATGGGCATGATGGTGATGGGTTACTAAATACTAGAACTAAAGTTGATTCTGGTGTGAGTGGAATACTTTTTTATAAAGAAAAAGGGATGATTATTCTATACTTTCTTGTTATTCAGTCGTGATTTAAATGTACGTGTAGATCTAGATCTACATATTGGATTTAGGAGACCACGGTACATGACAGGTAGAAATCCTTCCCGATTCTCCTTTCTTATAGATTTAATCTAGATCTAGTTCTAGATCTAGATCTATTCTACAGTCGAGTCAAAGCCCTAAGTAAGAGAAGAGACCAAAAGTACTGAACTGAAGGGAGAAGAGAGTCTACAATGCAAAGACTTCTGATTTTTTTATGCAAAAGAGTTCCGTTGTCACTGGGAATAGTTTCTGTCCCTATATGTCACTGGGGATAGTCACTTCATTTAAGATATCTCCCTACGCGGTAGTCGAACTCACGTCTTCTGCATGTGAGGGCAAAGCGCCAGGCCGCTACACCATTTGAATGTTGGGATATGCATATCAAACTGAGGTTAAAAAAAAAAGCTAATTGCGTTTTCGCTTAAATTTGATCAACAAACACCATAGGGGTGCTCTGGTGTCCTGAACACCTATCAAACATCTATCATCCTTACCTCTCTCTCCCTTCTTTTTGTGTTTATTACACTCTCTTGTAATACTTCTAATCTTCTTCTACATTTATATGACCTAATTGTTTTGCAAGTGCTGTATAACTCTCACTAAAGCCACAACAAAAAATATCAGATAGGAAAATCTGACTACTGAGTTACATACTGCTTACACTACACACTACACCACGTTAACGCCTTTCTAGTCCATAACACTCAGACAGGCATATGAGACGAGTGGGTGCTATTAGATCAAGTACACTACTCACTACCACGCTTACGCCCGCATAGTCGATAAAACTCAGACAAGAAAACGAGACTAATGAGCACTGGGCAAAGTACGCTACTCACTACACCATGCTAACGTCCTCCTTTCTGACCCACCAGGCGGGGCAAGAGCAACAAGTCACTCAATTGATACGGTAGATCGATTTCGGTTATCAGTCACTTGGGGGGGGGGGGGGGGGTAGAAAGGAAGGGAGGGGGGAGGGATGGGGGGTTTTGTCATTTCTGTGGCGCAGAAACGCAAAGTACTTGGGCGTGGATGATTTGTTTTGTTTTTGTAAAGTATTTTACGGCGCTCGCAACTGCATAAGGTCATATGAGCGCTCGGGACACACCTAATATTTTCAGTTGGTAGGAAATTTTAAATTTTGCCCAAGTGGCGGCCGAAGCCTACTCTTATCGATTTTAGACCACCAAGGGATCTTTAACGTGCGCAACTTGCACACGGGCCCTCCGAAATTTTTTTGCCCTTGTCCGAGAAGGCTAGGTGTAGATCTTTCCTACCAGAAGATCAGGGGTGTGGCAGAAAGACAGCAGTAAGGAGGAGCCAAGGAGTAGCAGTAGAAAGGCTGCAGAAGGAGTCAGGAGCCCAGAGGAGGGGGCAAAGGAGGTGAGGGGGTGGGAGCAGAAAGTGGCAAAGAAAGCAGACAACAGAAAATTGCTAGAGAGCAGGAAAGGAGGTGAAAGGAGACAATTTTAGAGAAGAAAATATTTCGGTCGCTACCCGGATTCGAACCCGGGACCTTTGAATGAGAGGCCAACACCTTAACCTCTAGGACACGAGAGCCCCCGGCGTGGATGAGTGAGTGAATGAGGAAAATACTGCAAAAGAGAGGGGGAGAGAATGGTAGAGAGAGTGAGTGAGTGAGTGAGAGAGAACGATAGGAAGCACAGAGGGACACTGAGAGACAGAGAGAGAGCATGAGAGAGAGACAGTGAGAGAGAGAGAGAGAGAGAGAGAGAGAGAGAGAGAGAGAGAGAGAGAGAGAGAGAGGGGGGGGCACAGAGGGACACAGAGAGCGACAGACAGACAGATAGACAGACAGACAGACAGACAGACAGACAGACAGAGAAAGAGAGAGAGAGAGACAGACAGACCGACAGACTGACAGACAGACAGAGACAGATAGAGAGCGAGCGAGAGAGAGAGAGCGAGCGAGAGAGAGAGAGAGAGAGAGAGAGAGAGAGAGAGAGAGAGAGAGAGAGAGAGAGAGAGGAAACAGGATTGGGAGGGCGAGAGAGGCAGATAGAGAGAGAAAGAGAGAGACAGAGAGAGACAGAGAGAGAGAGAGAGAGAGAGAGAGAGAGAGAGAGAGAGAGAGAGAGAGTAAAAGAAAAAGAAGGTTGTTCGAAGACGTACCACTGAACACCGCTTGTCAAAGTTCATGACTTATGGAATCTTAAAGCATGACTTGAAAATGAAGCCAAAAAATAATTCAGTCATCCAAGGAATATTTCTAGACATTGTTTTGGAGAGAAAACCAATGTGTTCGCAATATTTAGGACAAGTGAAGTGAAGTGAGATTTGTATACGCCGTGTTAGGTTTTTTTGTTTTTGTAAGTGTTTTTACGGCGTTCGCAACTGCATAAGGTCATATGAGCGCGCGGGACACATTAAACATTTTCAGTAGGTAGGAAATTTTGAATTTTGCTCGGGTGGCGGCCGAAGCCTATTCTTATCGATTTTAGACCACCAAGAGATCTTTAACGTGCGCAACTTGCACACGAGCCCTCCGAGGTTTTTCGCCCTTGACCGGCTAGGTGTAGATCTTTCCTACCAGAAGATCAGGGGTGTGGCTGAAAGACTGTAGTAAGAAGAAGCCAAGGAGTAGCAGTAGAAAGGCTGTAGAAAGAATCAGGAGCCCAGAGGAGGGGGCAATGGAGATGAGGGAGTGGGGGCAGAAAGAGAAGACGAAAGCAGACGACAGAACATTGCTAGAGAGCAGGAAAGGAGGTGAAAGGAGACACATTTAGAGAAGAAAATATTTCGATCAGTACTCGGATTCGAACCCGGGACCTTTGAATGAGAGGCCAACACCTTAACCTCTAGGCCACGAGAGCCCCCGTATTAGGTTTCGTGATGAGGCTCATTTCTATGTAACTGGAAGAGTTAATTCTAGGAGTTATATGCATACGGCAACAGAAATATCAGACGATGTGAATGACTGAAAGATTTGCATTTGAAAAAGCAACATCGTGGGTAGCTTTAATTGCTCAAGGCCATTTTGATTCTGTAATGAAGTCGGAGACAAATTATGGTCATCACAGATCGTTATTTAAATGTGTTGAATTGGTTCTGCCTATCCATGTGGCGGTTCCGTGGCTATGGGACAAGAGTTGAGCAATGATTGATGCATTATGGGGTAGCCCTTCTCTTTGCGAAACATGCCTTAAACAGGCTGAAAGAGCATTTTGGGGAATTGTGTCAGCAGTCTCTTATTATACCTCCCGTGGGCACAACAGAGTCCGAATTTGAATCCATATCGCTACCTCAGAATTACAAAGTTCTATCTGCTCAGTACCTAGTTTGAATAAATTGGAAGTCAAAATTTTTGAGTTTCAAACACCAAGTTTTTTCGAATGCAATTCTTTAGATATCTTTATAATGACTCCAAAAAGTCTTATGATTTTGATAGAACAGATAAAACATTAGGATTCTGGCTTCATGGTAGTAACTCAAAACGGCCAAAACGTCAGATAGAAATTTGTAATTTTGAAGGTAGCGATATGTCTTTTTTATGTCAAGACCAAATCTCACAAGAAAGATTCTAAACCCTACAGGAACTCAGAGAAATCGAATCATGGAGCTTGGGTAAGCTACTACGCTGCAGCAATGTGAGAAACTACTCTACATTTTAAAATCAGAATACAGAAATGCCTTGCACCCGGTGAGGGCCATGTAGAATAATATCTTTTGTGAAGCTGAAAGTTCCGAGGGGGATCTTTTTTCATGCAGTGAATTATATAATTTTCCATCCAGATGGCTTTTTCAAGTTTTAACCGAAGGGTTTTACTATACAGCCTCCCCCCCCCCCCCCCCCCCCCGGTCCTTTTTTGGTTTGAAACCTTGTAGATAACAAGTAACACATAAAAACCACATTTACTTTTATCGTTCACTGTACCCGCTACAGAACTTCCCGAAAAAAACCTAAAAATACTGCGTTACGCGGTGCAAATCACTAATCAAAACGTGCACGGGCGTTGAGCAAAACCTCAATGATTAAAGGGGTGACCCT